GTGTGGCGTTGTCAGCCTGCAGCTGGGTGGCATGTACAACAAATATGCCTGCATTAATGTGACAAGCAGGCTTTCACACAAACAAACACACTTGTAAAGATTTATGTAAATATATATAAGTGTAAATATAGGTATGTCCTGCCATGCCTGGGCGTTTTTGCAGGGCTTCATTGATATTTTTCACCTTCTTCACCTCTTAATGTGCGTGTGTGTTTGTATACAATGCACCCATATTTTGTTTGATTTCTTTTCAACGTGTATTTAGTTTTGACGTATGTCTCAGCTGTGGAAACGTGACAGTTAACGTCGGTTTTTAAAAATCCATGAATGCTTGTATAAGAGTGTGTGGCATGACTGGCTGATTGGCTGCAATGTAAGCGCTGCACTTAACTTTATTTATTTACATATGCAAACATACAAACATACAAACATATTTGCATACATATGTATGTGTGTATGTGCATTTTTTAATTTCGCTTGTTTGTATGCCGGTGTGCGCTGAAGAATGTCTTCCTCCTAATGTCTTCCACATATACATATGTRTGTTTGTGTGTTTGTATGGAAGTCGCAACGGCATGTGCGCACTCCTTTTGGCCGGCAACGCAGTGAAAAGGTTTAAAAACAACAAGCAAACAAACCAAAAATGAAAATGAAAGAGCTATTGTTGTTGTTGTATGCAGGCAAACATGACTCATTCAATATTAGCCGCGCTTATTAGGTTTCAAGTGTCAAAGTAAATATAGAAAGGAATAGTGTTAACCCGTTGCGTGTTCTAGGAATGTTTGATAATGAGTTTTCTTGAGTGAAATTTAATTTAAAGTTTATATTTTTTTTTTATAAAATTTACAAATACACATAATAGGTAGGGGACCTTTATTTATTCTTTATACTCAACTAAGTGAATTAWTTGATATAGTTTTTGAGATATCCATCTGAAATTTTTCATACGCCCTTTTCACTCTAAGAAACTGCTCATTTCTYGGAATCGCCGTTATCGGCCCACTATAGCATATAGCTGACATACAAACTGACCGATCCAAATCAAGTCCTTGTATGGAACACTTTTTTATTTGACAAGACATAGTCATGAAATTTGTCACAGATTATTATTAAAGCCACAACTACAATATATGAAGAAATTATTCAGATCGGACTACTATAACATATAGCTGCAATACAAACCCATAAATCTAAAACGAGTTCTGGTATGGAAAAYTCCTTTATTTGACAAGATATCTTTACGAAATTTGGCATAGATTATTATCCAAGCCAGCGGTAAAATCTACGATGAAATTGTTTTGATCGGACCACTATAGCATATAGCTGGCATACAAACTGACCGAACCAAAACGAGTTCTAGTATAGAAATTATTTTTATTTGTTAAGATATCTTTACGAAATTTGGCACGGATTATTGTCCCAATCGAAGCTATAATATACGAACAAATTGTTCAGAGCGGACCATTATAGCATATAGCTRCCATACAAACTGGCTTATCCAAATCAAGTCCTTGTATGARAAACTTTCATATTGAATAAGATATATTTTCTAATTCTAATTTGGCATAGATTATTATCCAAGCCAAAGCTACAATATAYCAAGAAATTATTCAGATCACTATATCACATAGCTGCCATTCAAATTGATCGTTTTAAATCAAGTTAAAGATCCTTTTATACCCTTTTATGCTGCAAGAAATGCACCTGTGAAGGGTATTATAGCTTCATTGTAGGCGARGTTGACGTTTCATTTGGTTTTAAACTTATTTCGCCAAAATAAGTTCCACCATTGGTTCCACGGTAACGAAACAAAAGCAGGTTCGTTGCTTAAGTCTTTTGTTYAAAATGTTATTGCTGTTGTTTATTATGCTTTTAGTATTTGAGATATTACTATTTATGATAAAAAAATAAAAAAAGAATATTCATCAACTAAATATTTAAAAATATGAGTCACTTTGAAGCCATGGCCGACTCTTAATATATTAAACTTGTATGTACATATGTATTTATAAGCAATGACGCGTTGCTTCAATTAAAATAAGAAAAAATTATAATTTAATAAAAAAGGTCAACGTACCGTTWACTCATAACTAATACAATTATTATTTAACGGTAAATAACTTAATTATTTATTGCAAGCTTATTAGAACCACACTTAAGTCCATATGCTTATTGAACAATGTTCCATATAAAGCACACACAACGAATATAGTCATCCACTCTATTTGCCTATGCAAATAGTAAACGATTTCAACAATTGTTTGGCAAAGCGAATTCAATTATTTGGTATGCAGTAGCACATTTAAATAAATTTGGAAAATATATAAATAATAATAAAATAAAAAGAGAAAAAATAATTTAAAAAAAATAGCTGCTGGGCACTAATATTTAGCTAAAAATTTAATTATTCTTATTTCTAGGTTTGTTATTATTATTACATATGTACACATGTATATAGCTAGTATTGCCTATCAACTTTAAATTCTATATATTTTATAATTATTCGTTTTTTGATCCTAATTCAAGTAATTTTTGCTTTTCAATAATTATTTACGTTTATTTTTCTATTTTTCAGCATTTTTTCTATAAAAAAAAAATTCGACCAGCAAACCTGTGGGTGAGTGCTTTTAAAAATTATTATATAATTTAATTACACAATTTTTAAAACAAATTTTTTTTATATTTAAAAATTGTTTTTTGTATATGTTTCATAACAAATCTGTCTCTTATACACATCTAGATGTGTATAAGAGACAGGTTTTGAGCACCTCGAAGTGTGAGCATAGTTTTAATCAGTGTGTGTACAAAGCGAAGGCAAACAAA